GTGTGTGTGTATTTATATGTATCAACATCAACCCACGACCACCTACAACCCCTTCTGTTATGTAAATGTTGAAACCGCCCCCTCACACAACATACTGTTATGTAAATGTTAACCCCCCCCCCCCCTCCCACTACATACACCAACGCCTTATATTTTTCAGACCACGCCACAACAGTTGATGTGCAAATTTATGTCCTGAGTATCGATACTGTCAGCGAGCAGTCAATGGTAAGTAACTGTAAACTATTGATGGAAATCGATTATTCATATGAATTCCTATAATCTGTAAAGTATACTCATACCACTTCTCTTTTTGTTCAGTTGCTTTATTTTTTGCCACTGCTAAAAAGGGATTATGTCACACTACCCCACCCCCCCAAACCCCCACATTTAGCCCCTTACCCCCATCCCCACATTCCTCCCCCCCCCCCCAATCCCCACATCCCCCACTAGTCATTGTCCCCACTCCAGGATCAATTACCCCTTGTACATTACATTGGCTAATAGAAGTTACAGTTGGCCCCTTATTAGATGGCCCTTCAATACATGGCCACTTAACACTTGGCCACTCAACACTTGGCCACTCAACACTTGGCCACTCAACACTCGGCCACTCAACACTTGGCCACTCAACACATGGCCACTCAACACTTGGCCACTCAACACTTGGCCACTAAACACTTGGCCACTCATTACTTGGCCACTCAACACACGGCCACTCAACACTTGGCCACTCAATACTTGGCCACTCAACACTTGGCCACTCAACACTTGGCCACTCAACACTTGGCCACTCAACACTTGGCCACTCAACTCTTGGCCACTCAACACTTGGCCACTCAACTCTTGGCCACTCAACACTTGGCCACTCAACACTTGGCCACTCAACACTTGGCCACTCAACACTTGGCCACTCAACACTTGGCCACTCAACACTTGGCCACTCAACACTTGGCCACTCATGTTCTGTCGAATCGCGGTTTCTCCCTTAAACTTGAGACCCAACAAATGCTACAATATTTCATCATTTTTACTTTCTCGTATATACGTAGTATAGAGAAAGTATTGTAATCGTGCAAAAAAAAAAATCGAGATTTTTACAAATCTCGACGTTTTACACCTCACTGATACGGAAAAACATAATTTTGCAATCTTGTCCGTATGTCTGTGTGTGTGTGTGTCTGTGTGTCTGTCTGTCCGTGTGTAAACACGATAACTTGAGTACCGTTACAGCTAGGTTGATGAAATTTCATATATAAGTATTTTATCAAAATCGTAGATCCGTATCAACTTTTGAGCGATTTCCGATAACCGGAAGTGGTACTTTTCCTACTTTGAATTTTTTAAAAGCCTATAACTTGAGTACTATTTCAGATAGATAAATGAAATTTCACATGTAAGTAAAAGATCTAATTCTCTACCTTCTGTTAAATTTTGAGTAATTTCCGTTGACTGGAAGTAGTAATTTACGCTACTTCCGATTTCTCAAAAAACTAATGTAAATTTTAAAAGTACTAATAATATTGCGCACTATTATGCGCTTTTTTTATTTGCGTTCACTTGGTGTGCAATTAATTTGTCTACGAGATTTTATTCTATTTTTAAAACTTTAAGTATTTAAAATGGATTAAAAATCATGTCTATAGCCCGAGTTTCCATCCCCTGTTATTTTATATAAGAATATTCGAGAAAGTTTAGGGGAGATCACTCCCGGTTTTTATATTTATTGTTTTCTTTCATGTAACATTTCAACTTTCAAATATTTTCTTGTAGGGCAACAGAAACAAATCAATGTTTCAAATTACTTGCATCAACACAAAAAAACTAGCAGGGGGGGGGGGAGAAATGGGGTCAGGGGGTATATCAAATTGTGGGGGGGGGGGGGTATGTGGTCCACATCACGTTAGGGCCTACTCCAGTTGTCGTGAATGGATTATAAATCTTTTGTCTTCGTCTGTTCAATATTTTATTCCACACTGGTCTACTCTCTAGCGGGTACTTGACATTCATAGAAGAATATTCCAGAATTCGTGGAGAAAATATGTATTTTATCTGGCTTCTTTCTTTCCTTTGTTGAAGATTTTTTTTTAAGTTGAAAATTTATTCCTGTTTAGATGCATTTAGCGTTTGATCTTTAATCAGACCATCTAATTAGCTTCGATAAAAACAAACGCTAAGCTCTAAAATAATGTTCTCTTTTTTTTAATCGCCGGATCTTTTAAAAAATCTATATTGATTTAATTACATGTGTAATATGTCTCGATATTGATAAAATTACATGTGTAATCTGTCTAGTTGATATTGATTAAATTACATGTGTAATCTGTCTAGTTGATATTGATTAAATTACATGTGTAATATGTCTAGTCGATATTGATTTAATTACATGTGTAATATGTCTCTATTGATTTAATTACATGTGTAATATGTCTCGAAGTCTTGCAACACTGAGAACATTAATTAATGTCCTAAAACTTATAGAGCAACAATGGTTATAAAACTAAATTAAAATAAATAAAAGCTAGCTACTGTGTAATATTTTTTTTTAAAGTTGTCTCTCCTAGAAGAGTGGCTGTCCCCGGCTAATGAGCCTCATCTGCCCAAGGGTTCGAACTGGAGATTTTTCGGTTTAGCAACCGTGAGTTTACCGACTCGACCACGCCGAACCCGTAAAATATCTGATTCTCTGACTTCTGTCAATTTTTTTTTCTTCGAGATTCTATTCTATTTTAAAAAGTTTAAGTAATTAAAAATGGATTAAAAATCATGTCTTTATCCCAATTTGCCATCCCCCGTAGTGTTCTATAAGAATATTCGAGATAGTTTAGGGGAGATCACTCCCGGTTTATTAGTTTTAGTGCATAAAAATTCTTGATTTACTAAACGGTTTTATAAATGTTTTATTTTTGAAATTTTAACATTGTGCGAATCGCTAAAGCACATCAGGTGTGCTGATATCACGCGCAGTTTTTGTGGATAGATTAGCTGACCTCTCCATTAGCTGACCTCTCCATTAGCTGACCTCTCCATCAGCTGACCTCTCCATCAACTGACCTCTCCATCAGCTGACCTCTCCATTAGCTGACCTCTCCATTAGCTGACCTCTCCATCAGCTGACCTCTCCATCAGCTGACCTCTCCATCAGCTGACCTCTCCATCAGCTGACCTCTCCATCAACTGACCTCTCCATCAGCTGACCTCTCCATTAGCTGACCTCTCCATCAGCTGACCTCTCCATCAGCTGACCTCTCCATCAACTGACCTCTCCATCAGCTGACCTCTCCATCAGCTGACCTCTCCATCAGCTGACCTCTCCATCAGCTAACCTCTCCATCAGCTGACCTATCCATCAGCTGACCTATCCATCAGCTGACCTCTCCATCAGCTGACCTCTCCATTAGCTGACCTCTCCATCAGCTGACCTCTCCATTAGCTGACCTCTCCATCAGCTGACCTCTCCATCAACTGACCTCTCCATCAGCTGACCTCTCCATCAACTAACCTCTCCATCAGCTGACCTCTCCATCAACTGACCTCTCCATCAGCTGACCTCTCCATCAGCTGACCTCTCCATCAGCTGACCTCTCCATCAACTGACCTCCATCAGCTGACCTCTCCATCAGCTGACCTCTCCATCAACTGACCTCTCCATCAACTGACCTCTCCATCAGCTGACCTCTCCATCAGCTGACCTCTCCATCAGCTGACAGTAGTATATTAGGTCGCTTTTGGAGCGTATTCCTGGCGGAGGTGGGGAGGGTGAGGAACAATGACATATAGTAAAATACTCGGGAGCAGGATGCGCGGGTGGCGCAAAGACATATAGCAAAATACTACGCCAGCTGCCGCAGCCTGGCGCATCGGGAGGGTAAGGGTGGGTGAGCAGGATGTGGGGGTGGCGCAAAGACATATAGTAAAATACTACGCCAACTGGGGTTGGCGGAGGTGGTGGGGAAGTAGGTCACCTTTTGGTGACCTTGTGACGTAATTAGTAACATTATGACGTAATTAGTGACTTTGTGATGTAATCATTGACCTAGTTACGTAATTTTAATGCGTTTTTTAATGAGTTTTAATGAGTTTTTTAAATTTTTAATCAATTTTTATTGACTAGTTACGTAATTTGATTATTTGTTTACTTTTTAATTAATTTTTATTGACCTAGTTACGTAATTGGATTTTAATGAGTTTGAATTTAATTTTGTAATTTTAATTAATTTTTATTAACGAGTTACGTAATTTGATTATTTGTTTGATTTTAAATTGTTTACTTTGTTTGTTTACTTGTTGTTTATTTGTTTATATTGTGTAATTTTTATTCAATAGTTACGTAATGTGATTTTAATTATTTTTATTTTGTTTATTTTTAATTTTATTTTATTTTATAATTAGTTAAATTATTATTAACTAGTTACGTAATTTGATTTTAATTACTTTGTTTATTTATTTATTTAATATATTTCTTTTCTTTGATGTTTAATTTGTTGGTTTGTTTGAATGTATGTATGTTTAAATAAAAGACTAACACTAGCCGTGTACTTTGTGAATAACATCCATTAAAGATAACGATCAGGCGACAGCTGTTACGTATCGATCCGCGATCCTTTGTTGACACACGCTGAGCGGTTTTTAATGGGCTTTATATTGATCGCAGCCGCTGGCCCATCACAGCATGATGTCCCACCTAATTAAATTTTGTTATGCTTCACCGAGTTTCCCTGCTCGGTTTGATAGGTCATGATAATTAACGACGTACATTAAGTGCCTCTCCGCGTTAAGTGTGGGAACATCTGTTACCACGTTAATCGATTTTTGCACAGCTGTTGTGCGACAGCTGGTGGTGTAATTAGGTTGACCAACCGGACATTACCTTGTTGGTTTTCTAGTACGCGTATGCTACACGTATATACACACACACACACACACACACACACACACACACACACACACACACACACACACACACACACTAAATTAGAACAAAAGTCTTCTTATATTTTATTTGTTTATTAACGTTTTTCCAATTCATCAAAGGCTTTTAAAATTTCATCCTGTAAACTTAATAGGCGCTCAAAGCAGACGCGACTCATACTAACACCAGAATTTGTAGGAAAATTAAGATCGGTCCCATCTATAAGCTCTCTAAGATTTAAAGTGTTTTTGTTCATGAATTGGCTGACAATCGCCAATTTAAATCCGGTGTGATTCATCGTTCGTATTTCCGTCAC